ATGACCCTAGCATGTCCAGATCGCGAGATAATGTAAAACACTGTAATTATAGAATTTCCTCATTAATTATGCAAATAAAGTCCTCATTTGCATAATTTGCATTTAGTTATGTACATCTCTCTCTCAGCTACCTACACACCAAAAATAATGAAAATATGTTGTTCCTGTCTGGACTTATTGGCTTTTAAATATTTCGCCAGAAAGTGCCCTGCAGTTCCAGAACAAGCCGCTAGGGGGCCCAAACTCATTTGACTTCTTCCCAAGCACGAGAGCTACCTTCCATCAAAATTTCATGACCCTAGCATGTCCAGATCGCGAGATATCACAACCGGAAGTTGCGCTGCAGTACCAAGGGAAGCCACTAGGGGGACCAAAATCTCATCGTTTCCAGTTTTTGTCACACTCTACCAACACACCAAGTATGAAACCAATCCATCCAGGCGTTCTTGAGTTATCTTGTTGACCAACAGACAGACGGAAGGACGGAAGGACGGACGGACAGATAAACGCAACTGAAAATATAACCTCCATGACACATTTCATGGAGGTAATAATCCTTTCATTCCAAAGTGCAAGCAGCCTTGCAAAAGCCAAATACTAAGTTACATTTGCACTCATTTCCCCGATTTTGAATAAAGAGCAAAAAATTCAAGTTAAGTTTACCAGGGAAAATGTAAGCAATCTACGGTCTGTTTCAGATATGGTTCAATCAGTCTATATTTTTGTATGCTTCCTAAAAAAAGTTTGGCTCACCTTATTTCCTGCTCTCAGCTTGGAATCCACATATTTTGCTGCAAAACAGATTTATACTATAGTGTTAGAAATTTTCCAGCACTGTGACAGTAATTCAAAACAGCTAGAATATAACCTGCATATGCATATTATATTTCAAACCTGGGGTCATGTGGTATAACGGCTGAGTGCTTGACTCAGAACCATTTGAGTCCTGACATGCCACCTATCTTGAGTCTTTGGGAAAGAAATTTTACACAGCTTTCCTCCCTTAACTCAATTGAAAATGAGTATTGTCCTGTCCTGCATTTGTTTCTATGTGTGGGACACAACACCAGCAACAGCTGCCTTTGTCCACCTTGTATTGTATTGTTACAATAATTATCAATAAATCAAATCAAATCAATCAAATAAAATCAATCCTGACTCCTCACCTATCAATTCTGCCGGCTTGTTCAGTCTCTTGTTGATGAAAGTCTCAAACGACTCCTTCATGGTGTTGATGAACTTCTCGTTACTTGAGAAGCAGCTCTGTAAGATGTTGTCCACCTTGTCCTTGAAGTCTAACAGCTCCTGAACCATGGTCTTATCCTTCTCAGGGTTGATCACTATGGTGGAGCCAAACGACTGTAGAACGTGGGACACAGACAGTCAGTTAGGCCAAACTGACTTAATTTTATGGATGACATCCTCTGAAGACCCCCAAACTCAGCATGTCGGCAGAGCGCGAAACCCGTATGTTTTGTACATAGCATTTCAGCAGAATGTCTCATATAAGGTTGTATTCGCTCATATAAGGTTAGCATTTCGACAGTAGTTTCCAAATGTTGTGTCGGAAAGAATATCCTCTGCAACAGGCAAAATTCTGATGCAACGTTGACCAAAACCCCAACGAAAAACTCGAAAATGCGGGGTTCTGCGCAGGCGCAGTACGTTCTGCCGACGTTTGTTTGTTTGCACCTTTATTTATTGATGAAAATACACAATTCGGCCAACAGGCCGCTTTTCATTGTGGTCATCATGCAGGAGAGAGGTTCAATTCCTACAAAACACATAATGTATACATCAGACTTGGATACATGATTCAGAGTCTTAATAAATCTAAACAAATATTCATCATAACATGGTACAACTTATATACATACATAATTAAGTAAATACATAGATGTCAAAGCAGGTAAGTAGTTCTTGTCCGTTCGTTTTTCATTCCTGGTTTCTACCTCTTTAAGAGTCTCTTAAAGGAAGCGAGGGTTGGGGCCGTGCGTATGTCCACTGGAAGACTGTTCCAGGCAGTTTATTGTTTGTTTATTGAAAACCAAAACCCATCGCAGCCTCACGGCTGAATTGTGAGGTCTGTACACAAGTAGCGAACACGTTACAATTGTTAGACTATCTTATTACATTTCGAAAAATACATTAAATTAACATTGTTACTTATAACATTCTAACTTCAAATACTAAAATTCGCAGTATATGTACATTTTAAAAACATTTTTCAATCATTCATAATCTTTAAAATAGATATTTTTGTAGCTGCGACATTTAAGCGAATTAAAAACAATACTGGAAGAATGGTATTAAAAAGACACATTCATTCGGATACAATAGTCTATACATGAAATGGGCACGAAATAACAGATTATTACAAAGTCTCATTGTACAGTCTGACAGCGGTGTACAAAAATGATTTTCTGAGCCGCTCTGTTCTGGCCAAGGGAAGGCTGATGTTGTCATGGTTTCTGAGTCTACGCCCCGTGGAAGTCAGTCTCTGAGGCGGAACCAGTTCGTGAAGTGGATGTTCTGGTTTCATCATGTTCTTTAGTAAGGTGATGGCAGCCAACTCCCTCCTTTCCTTGAGGGAAGGGAGTTTTGGCACAGTCCGTTTGCCTCCACAAGAAATTATGCGTAGTGCTCGCTTCTGTACTCTTTCAATGTCTCTCGACTGTTCAGCACTACACCCAACCAATAAGACATTCCCGTATTCCAGAACAGGACGGATCAAGGATTTGTATACCTGGAGAAGGTCATCAACATCCATGCCTTGTTTGCACAGCAGACGCAGGTAATGTAGTCTGCTTGAGGCCTTGGTTACACTTGACTTAATGTGGTCATTCCAAGTTAGTTTATTGTCAAAAGTGAACCCTAGCCCCTTCGCAACGGTTGTTGTTGGCACGGCTTACCCACCCAAGACAAGTGGTGGCAGTGCGGGAATGTTCCTGCTAAAGCTAATATGCAGCGCCTGGCTCTTCTTGCCGTTGAGTAGCATATTGTTGTTACTGGACCACGAGTCGAGACGTGCGGCTTCCGCTGACATGGTTGTGTCACTAGCAGCTTTTCTACTAGGACAGTCCTGGACATGTTGACGTCATCAGCGTAGCCAATGTTGAGTGTGTCGCTGTAGACTGATATACGTGAAGCCATAAACAGTAGAAACAGGTAAGGTGACAACACACCTCCCTGTGGCACGCCCGACGTGAGTACCAGCCAGCTGCTGAACTTGCCGTTGGCCATCACTCTCTGTGTGCGTCCCCTGAGGTAGTCGTGGAGCCAGGTGATCATACAAGGGCTAGGTACTGTGTCAATTACGCGTTGAATCAGGATGGCGTGGTCCACTCTATCAAAAGCTTTGCTCATGTCGGCAAAGAGTGCTTGAACTACCACGGGGTCTCTGGAATCAAGCGCGGACAGCCAGGACTGTACCATCTTGACCACAGCTATAACAGTAGATGAACCCTTCATGTATGCGTACTGATCTGTTATAGCCGGAGTTATAGAAGGGAGAAGTCTCTTAAGAATGCACCTTTCCAGTAACTTGGCAAGCGTGGGAAGTAAGGACACCGGCCTCATGTCACTTGGTTGGGCGGCACCTTTGGCCTTAGGAATGGGAACCACATTGGCGGCCTTCCACACTCCTGGTACAACTCCTTGTTCATACGAGGCATTGAACAGATGTGTGATGATGGGTGCTAAGTCCTCAGCATATTCTTTGAGAATCCATGTTCCAGGCAGTGGGTCCGCGGTAGGCTAGGGATCTTCTAAAGCTCTCTAGATGAGGTTTAGGAACAACTAGTTTATTGCTTGTGCTTTGTCTAGTTGACCTTGTGCTTTGCTCGCTACAGTAAGCAAACATCTGGCGCATGTAGTGTGGAAGTTTGTTGTTAATGGCTTTGTAGACGAGCATGATCTCGTAGTGTTTATGCGTTGCTTTAATGTCTTTCCAGCCCAACCGGGTAAGCACTTCGATTGATGGTGTCCTGTAAGGCGCCTTCAGTATCAGTTTTCCTGCCCGATTCTGCATTCGTTGTATCTTCTGCAGATCTTGATCTGGAGCAGTGTCCCATGCTGTGCAGGCATATGTTATGTGTGGCAGGAAAATGGCGTTATACAAAGTGCAAAGAGCTGACGTTGAGATGAAGGGGCTGACGTGTTTCATCATAAAAGAAGAACGCCTCAATTTCCCCAGTACAGCCTTCACCTGGTCCTTCCAGTTTAGTTGACGGTCGATAACCACACCTAAGTAGGTGTATTTATCACATGTTTTAATGTTGACACCATTGACAGTAAGTCTGGGAGGGTTACAGTTTGTCAGTCTCTTGTTCGTTCCTATGTACATACATTTACATTTGCCACCGTTCATTGATAGCGAGTTTGCGGCAAACCATTTTGACAGCCTTTGTAGGTCGTTCTGAAGTACCTGCTCAATGTTTGTGGAGTTTTTATGACTAAAGTAAATTACAGTATCATCTGCGTACATTGAAATATCGCAGGACTGTAGACATTCAGGCATATCATTGACATATAGGAGGAAAAGAAGGGGCCCCAATATCGATCCTTGGGGCACCCCATATTTTACTTGGTGAAACGCAGAACTTACTCCGTTGATGGAGGTGCAGTGCTTCCTTCCGGGGAGGTAAGACTGGAACCAATTGAGTGCGCTACCTTGTATGCCGTATCTAGACATCTTCTGGAGAAGGATGGAATGATCCAGAGTGTCAAATGCTTTGGACAAATCAATAAAGACTGCCCCGTCAGTTCACCGTCGTTCATGGCCTTGAACCATCTCTCAGTTAATAAGTGCAACGTGCTCCCAAACTCCATGTAGTGCGCGCAGCCCCCACCACCACCCCCCGGAACCTCAATTTCCCATCCAAGCCAGCCTAGCGGGGACCAATAGGCGGGCAGCATTTCGGCCACACCCACAACCCGCGCTTTAGCAAGATATGGTTGAAAAAGATGTTTATTAAACTTGTTCAAAAGATACATTTGTAAATTGTTTTCTGAAATTCTGTGTCTTTGAATAGTTGGAGCAAAATAACTACCGAGTCGAGTTAAACCATTTTGGCATTGGGCTTACGTCGGCCGCGCGGCGTACAAAACAGTATCTTAGGCCAAGTCTTTGTCTGTGAAAATGTAAGAAAAGAGGCCTTGCAGTCGTGTCCTGCCGATAACCTTGCCGATACCCAGGCGGTATGAAAAACTATGATCTTGAAAATATGAGTGGCAGCATCTCGATACCCTTTTTAAAGACAAGGTTTACTTTGCCGATTCCGAGTTTCCAGTTCGGAAGTCGCCGACACACCAAGTGTTGACGTACCTTCGGCACTGGAGATCTAGGACGGAAGCCGCCTTACCTCTGCATACCGAGTGCTGAGAAAGGAACCCGTTACTTCGGTACTTGCATTATTTTCACCCCAAATACACCAATTCTTACATTGTTTATCTGACATTTCCAACTCAGATTACCTGCCGCGCCGTACGGAAGGATGCTGTTCAACCCCATTGTTGAATGGAATCGACCGCAAAGTGGGCGTGGCGCGGAATGCTGGTCACCCATTGGTCGCCGCTAGGCTATGTGGATGCGAAATTGATGTAGCCCCCCCCCCCCCAAAAAGAAATGCTACTAAACCATAGGAATACAAAGCTACTATTTTGAATTTTCGGCAGTACTTAAGTTAGCGATGTATATGACAAGCCAGCACATGCTGGCTTTTTGCAGAATTTATGAATCGGCACTGTACTGAGGTCTTGAGTCGTGGAGCTTCGGTAGCCTGGGTGCCATTCTCCAGAGTTACCACTGGCTCCGTATTGTCGCTAACTACCATGGAGTACCCAGGCCTAGAGCCAGGCAAGAGCCTCGGTGGACATGATCTTTTTTTGTGCGCGGATGTCATCCATAAAATTAAGTCTAGTGAATCATACATAGCTCAAACATTTTTGGACATTGAAAGAGCTTGCAATCCTTTGGAAAATAACCTCTATCAAAAACTCAAAGAAAAGTCTAGGGTCTTCCTGTCTACCCAAGTATATTTTGTGCTTCAAAACATCCAAGAAATGTACCCAAGTTACATAAAAACAGTGAGTATGGAGTATATCTTTAGTATTTAGAGTTGAACCTGGATGTCCTTACTTTGATGTAGTCTCCCCAGTGCTGACACAATGTCTCCAGCCCTGCCTTGACTTTAGCAAACAGGTTGTACATCAGCTTCAGGTCGTCTGTTCTGTTCTCATCTAGGAGCTGGTGCAGTCCCTTTTGCAGAATGTTCACCAGATGTTCCCCCAGCAGTTGTTTCTCTACACACGACACAAGTGGCTTCCTGGGAAAGATACACACACAAAAAACCATCACCGTTGTCCAACTTGTCAGAATTATTGTATACATTTGTACTTTTATCATTGTGAATGAGTACTCTTATCATTGTGAGTGAGTACTCTTATCATTGTGAGTGTCTGAGTACTTTTATTATTGTGATTAGAGTTATCATTGTTATTGGAATAAGATGTTGAACAAATTAATTTTCTTATTCACAAATAAAAAAAAATTGCTAAACTAAAATATTCACATGAAAATGGAGTTGGGTGAAAACCTGTATTTTGATACACTCAGTTTAAAGGCAATTTCTCTCAGTTTTTCTGTGGTCATGTTGTCCTCTGAAACTAAAATTTCACTTCAAATAGAAGAAAGAAAATAGCATGGAATTTTAAAACTGTGCTTAGCATCATGACAAGGGTAGAAAAACTATTTCATCTTGCTGAAAAATTGGACGCTCACTACAACACAAAATCTAAGGATACTAGATCATGTCAAGTGAAATCTTATGATACTAGATTTATTTATTTATTTATTTATACATGTACATTCATCTTAGGGACAAATGGGTAGTCCCTTCAGCCATTGAGGCTGATTTCCAAGGGAGCCCATACAAGAAAATAATCGATAATGTAACATAAAAACTAGATACAGAAGCAATTGCAGACAGCATGACTGACTGTGTGCTCTGGTCCATGTAGAACATGAGTCTGTCCTGTTCCTCTTCTAGTCTCTTATCCACATGGTGAAGGTACTCTGCAATCTAGAAGGGAAAAAAACAGACAAGCATTGGTATTTTGAGTTTCCACTAACATTTTTTCTCTCTCTCTCTCCAGTTTAATGTCTTTTTTCCCCGAAAAGTGCAAGTCCTTTTTTGAAGCAAGTTTTTTTTTAGATAATTGAACTTTGTTTCAATACAAAAAACATGCCCATTAACTTTTCAATGGTGATTTTGAATATCCTGATTACAAAGCATTAACATTTTACTGAGTGTCTGTCTGTATATTGAATGATATACATGTTAAAGTTACAAAACCCACCTCTCTCTCCTGCATCAGTCTTTGGCCCTCTGCTGCATACAATCTCTCCGTCTCTTGCAGAAATCGCACCTCAAAGGCCTCCTTGTAAATCTAAACCAAGCCAAATGGCAAAAAAAAATTATGTATTCGTCTGTATAAACCACACACAATTTGAATGACATAGCTTGTTACCTAAACTAAATGAGCACTTAAATTGTTATTGGCTTCAACAGATCATCTATCAATGAATACATAGACAGCAGACGTTCGGCAGAATTCCACTTGTGCGATTTGTGTGTTTTGTAAAACACTATCAGTACCAATATGCAGACACTTAACCCATGTATTGCCTGGGCTTGAAATGCCACCTGCATATGCAGGTAAAACTGGAGCTGTGCAGTTTTATGTCTACACTGGAGCTGTGCAGTTTTATGTCTAACTGCACCTAACCTGTTTATGTACAAATGTAGGTGTAGGTGTCCATGGATTTGTACTTGCTTCATAATAGCCTGCATTGAATGTTACCACCTATGAAGTATAAAATAAATAATCACATGGGTTTTTGAATAGTTTATTATGATCCATACTTGTCAAATTCTGAGTGGAGCAGGTATAATTTCTGCAAAGGTAAAACATAATAAAAAAACTAGAAGTGTAACATTTGCAAAGCTTCACTTGGCCCTGCCAAACAAACTACTGCTTTGTTTATTCTTACTCAAAGACATTCATATATACGGTGACCATGCAGCCCCTCTTGAACTCAGTTCTGCATGGCAGTTCCAACATGATGTAACCCAACACCAGTTACCATGGTGACAGATGTCTGGTCCAGGTCATTGACTTCATTTGTTTGGAAGAGAAGAAGAAACTGAGCAAAAACAGTATGCTTTCCTTCTGCGAAGGTAAACATGATAAAAACTGGTTGCTTCCGTACCTGTAGATCCGACAACATTCCCAGCAGGCTCTTGAGCAGACTGCGGTCGACCATCTCCCCGTTCCGTTCTCTCTCGATCAGCAGCAGGAGTCCGTCCACCGTCTTAGTCTGAACAGACGTGTCACTGATGATGTGCTGACGGAACAGGTCCAGACCCATGTCCCTGGGAAACAGACACACAAAACAAAATTAGAGGGTAAATGTATGAAAATTACAGTACATGACAGGGCTCGAATTTCAGGGCTAGAATTGATCTGTATTTTGAATCAACACACTTACCAAAGAGATGACACCATGGAGTTCTGTAATACATAGGTTCTATCCAGGAACAGGAAGATACTCCGGATCATAATCTGAGGGAGGAAAATATTTGTTATCACACATAAGGTGAATCAATATAGCAAAGTTCATCTGTGTAGGTACAAGTCATTATGAAATGTCTCTGACGTCACGTTCCAAGAGTAGACGGGTCCATTCCGTGAACAAGGTTGATGGAGTCAACCGAAAATTTGGGGTAAGTCCCAATTCTTTGTAGTTAGTGTTGGAAGTTAAAGCTTAGTTTTTATTTCATAGTGAATCAATTTGTTATCATTTCAAATGATTGCTGGAATAAAATTACCATGAAAAGAACCTGTTTACATGACCCAGTGTTGATGTTACACTTCAAAGAAGCCATGTGACAAGTCTCACTGGGTCAGTCTACTGAGGAAGACCAGAGTGCCTGGTCGAAAGCTCTAGGTGAGAGAACTTCTTTGTGTTAGAGCTAAAGTTTTAACTACAAACATGAAAACAACCTGTCATTCATACATTTGAGATGACGATCAACAATTGAATAAGTCACACTAGATACAGATATACGGCTGTACATGTATAAAAATTAGATGTGTATACACTTTATATTGTCTGTAGAAGACGTGCACATCAGATGAACATATACCCACCATTTGTCTACAGTGATCCTGCCAACATTTGTTGATCTTCCTCAGGAACAACACACTGTCCAGCTCATCAGTGGGGCAGCAGTCAAGGACATTAGTACAAATAGTAGCATTTCACCAGACATTGGTACATGTACTAACTTACATTACTGAATCAAATTCTGCAAAATACTATGTCAAGATTTTATGGTCTCTATTGACATTGTGTAAACTACAAATATTTTTCAGAATTAATAAATTTATAGGGTTTGATTTTACAGAATACTGTTCACGTGTGAACTAAAAGCTAAGGGTTTAAGAAAACAACTCTCTAAACTTCTGCCATCTTGTTGTCATATCTGCAGTGACCTCATGATTTCAAGTAGACAGTGCATCATTTAATGTCAAATGTACCACCAATCTTAGCAGTACTGGTACTAGTGGTAGTTGAATTTTGCATTCAACATCATTCATTGTCAAGCAATGTCAGCAACATTTGAGAATTTTAGCTCTTACGCTTCACAGATTTTTGCAGCAGAGATTGATTCTGAGAATATGAAATTTGCCATGTTTTGAAGCCTGTCATTATTTATGAATTTAACATGGAATGTCTTGCCTCATATAAGGACTTGGAAAAAATAAATTACTGTAATTCCTGATTTGTTCACTGTACTGATAAGTTCACTGTTTTCACTGTCTCTTGTGTACAGTGAACTTATCATTACAGTTAACAAATAATTCCTGGACTTTCTTTTTCCTGCACTTATCACCACCGTGAACATATAGTTACGTGAACATGTCCATTTTTCTCAGACCGTGAAATTTTGCTACCGTGAACATAAAGTGAATTACAGTAACTAAACTAGAAAGGTGACATTTGGAAAGCAAATGCAGCATCATTTTTACCTTTACATGGCCCAGCTTAACAAACTGCTGCTTTGTTTGTTCTTACTCAAACAAACTCATCTTTGGTGACCATGCGCCCCTCTTGAACTCAGTTCTGCATGGCACTTGCAACATCATATAACCCAACACCAGTTACCATGGTGATAGACTTCTGGTCCTGGTCATTGACCTTATTTGTTTGAAGAAGAAGAAGAGGAAGAACAATATGTTTCCTTCTGTGAACTTGTGAAGGTAAACAATAAATGCACATTAGAAAGGATATCCCGAGTTGCCCTTGAACTGTGTGATCTGATGTTTGATGTGTTCCTCACACACCACCTTGAGTGAGTCGTACAGCATGACGGCCATCTTGTGCGAGCACATGTTCTCCACCGCCTGGTACAGCTCCTCCAGACTGTACTTGATGGACGTGCTCTTGTGGATGGCGTCGACCGCACCGCGCAACTTCATCCATGTCTCCTCTTTGTAGTTGTCGTGTAGCTTGGGTTTACCTAGTTGTTCAGAAAATATTGCAATGCTGGTTTTAGGCATCAATAGTGGAACATTAACTTTGATTAAGGGTCCCTTTGTTATAGCTTCAGTCAAAAGTTATAGTTTCATTTTTTTTTAAAGATTTATGAAGGTTCTCCCTTAAAAAAACCCTACATGGGTTGAAAAACAGTGTAGGGAGTCCAAATCATAGCATAGGGAGCCCCTATGCTCAAATAGCCTAGTGAGAACTATGACGAGTATATATGAACAGAAAAATAAACAAAATACAATATTCATCCTACTAACTACTATGCCATTTTCATGCAGGAACAGAGAGGTTATGCTATAGTTCCTTCTTCTGTCTAAAAAATAGATGCATATACAGGATATAAAGAATTACATCAGATATTCACTGATGTGAGTGATGGAACATGCTAAAATCAGTAGCTGGCTAAAATGAATATTTACTAATACTATTTAGGATGATTATTAATGCAGAAAAAGTGTTGGGCATCTTAAGTTCATACATGATCATAGCAATCAGAGATGATAGACTTCACCCCCTTACCCATAATACTTTGTTTTGTAACCCTTCCAGTCCCACAGACCAAAATAGCAGCATAACATGGCTGTACAAATTAACATGCACTTGTATGGAAACACTGGACTGCTGTATAGGGAATCACACACACACACTATTCACAAATACTGGAATACCAATATCAATTACAACTACTAACAGGTTTCTTTGTTTTTACAGAAATAACATACTAGTAATCCAATAGAAGATTATGAATATGATATACTGGTACTATGGCATAGATGATGATCATGAGTGGCCATAGTACAACATGTGCAGTTAAAATGTTGATAAACAACTTCATGAATATGTAAACATACTGGACACATGCCATCAAAGTAATGCCATAGCTGCATAGTTAGTTTTATATGCATGGGAGCACGGTGAGTCCAACTTTGTTTCGTCATGCGTTTGTTTACATCTGGTGGGGCCAGCCAGCACAACAGCATCCGCTATACTGGGTTCACTAAGGATTTACTGGGGCAACTAGCACCATCAGAACTTGTTGACATGCATGTGTAAGCCATTAGTTAGGTGTGGAAAATGTCTGCACTTTCTGTAAAGCAATGAAAATCCCTCTTTTTCCTGAATAGGGGACGTTAAGCTCCCGTGGGTTGGTGACATTTCACAGGTAGCAGGTCGTTTCCCCCCCATGCCTTTTCCCCCCCATGTCAGTCTGGTCATTTTCCTGTCAGTGGTTATGACTGCTTAAGTTATTTTTTTCAATCTAAGATAAACGTAGGTTACTATAACTGTTTACATGTAATAGTGCGATATCTGTACTTTTGTTGTAGTTTTTCCCCAGTTTCATAGAATTTTACAGACTAACAAGCCGTCAGTTTCACTGCGGCGGGCGGGGATGCCAGGTTCCCCCACCACTAACACAGCCCAGGCGCGGTGTCAAGTTGGAGATTTCAGCGACTGCTTGCTTGTGTTTTAATGTTTAAGTCAGAGACGTTTATGTTTGAAATATTTTAAATCATAGATGTTTACGTTTCAATGTTTTCAATCGTGGATATTTATGTATAACTTGTCACTGCATCTGGCGCTGTGCTAACATCAGGCAAAACGGTAGTCAACATAAAAGAAAGTAGTATGCAACAACGACATCACATGTAAACACTTATAGTAACATAATTTTATCTTAGATTGAAAAAAATAACTTAAGCAGTCATAACCACTGACAGGGAAATGACCAGACTGACATGGGGGGGAAAAGGCATGGGGGGGAAACGACTAGAAACCACATTTCACACACATCCACGCGTATATATTATATAACTTGGGCCTACCTTTGAAATTTTTGATCACCAGTTTCTTGGCCGTGCCAGGCTTGCTGTTCGCCAGAGAAGAGGCTCTGTTCGTCAGGCCGTTACTGCCCACCAGAGCCGAGAAGTTCGGCTTGCGGCTGTTGACCGATTCGTCCATCTGTGAGCTCGAGTGATGGGCAGGATCCGAGTGACAAAAATCAGAGTCTTCCTGCTTATGTCTCTTCAAGCCGGCCAAACCTTGACGGTTCTCTCCGGATACCCGCCGTTTTCTCTGGCTCCTTTCCGTGTCCTGCTGGTCGTGGGATGCCTTCTTCCTCGTCGCATTTGAAAAAGGCATATAACCGCACGATTAGACCGTCTAGCGGCCCAGTTTTGAGGGTAACAAGGCAAATTGTCGAATTTTAAAGATTTCTAGCCTGACTCTTTGTTGCAGGCAGATTCCAAGATGGCTGCCGTACGCAGAGGCTGCTGGGATAGCGCTGCGGCATTGTGGGTAAGCACTGCGGCAAAGACCTGGCGACAGCCCAAGCCAATCTCCAAGCAGATGCGTGGTGCTTGAGCTCGATTTTACCCGAAATTTGGATGCAGTGCTCAAAATGCTTTCTCTGGTACCTACAATTTTACCAAATGTTAGAAATTTTACAGGCAAACCGGAAGAATTTGTTGGAAATACTGAAGATGCTGGCATAACTTTAAAGAGCTTACAACCTCTAATATATAACGTAACTTAGTATAGGGTGTAAATTAGAATAGAGTCTAGGATTTTTTAAATGCAGCGCTCAAAATCATCTTATCTTGTGCTCTTACGATACACTAAAGAAAGAATCAGACCATGGGCTTCCGTAAAACCTCATTAGGTTAATTAGCTGCAAACTGCAAGTTTTTATTTGTACTGGCAGATTCTCTGTAAATTGCAGGATGCAGGTGGGTATTTCAGGTGAGCAGGTGTACATATTCAAATTTTAGCTGCTGTGACCGGAAATAGACGACGGCCATGTTGTCTGGTATACTGATGCAGACGGACGGAGTTTTCTCTTCACAGTTTTGGTCTTAAACGGAGTTCAATCCCAATTGGTAAGAGTCCTTTTCTTCATCTTCTTCTGTCGTGCCTGGTGGTGCGTTGATATTATGGTAGCATGTTAACTGGCTGTTACAGGCGCTAAGCTTTAATCTGTATATATATGTACATGGAGGTTTATTCGTCCTTATTATAACCATGTATTGCTGAAACTGATACTTATATGTTTTGTTGGACGACCCTAACTTTTAAGGATATGTAGATCAAGCTAGCCCGACTTATAAGCTAAAGAACTCTGCCTTTATTAGGCACGTTTGCGTTCAATGTATTGTTTGTGTACTGTAAAAGCTGCATACGCTTGCTAGTCACTCAAATACATCCATTGTATTACATGTACCTTTGTATTATCTATTTGTGTACATAATGGTACTAACTGGCGGTAGTACACAACAATAACTCAGGATGTGAGTTCGTACACGTACATGTATATATCTGTTTTAAAAGAAGGGAAGAAACACGCAGTAAACTATAGCAATGTTTATAGCCTTAGATGTTCATCCATCTGTAACAGATATAGTGTAGCACTTCTGTAGAATTTATTGTCTGTACGACTACTATGTAAAACTACATGTACTACGCTCGTGGGCATGAATGTGCAAATAAACCTCATTGTCATTGTACTTTCCGACAGGATTAAATTTGTCAGGTGAACTTCAGAAGTAGAGAAGTCGGACGACAACAAAAATGTTCATCTCCCGGAGAACGGTTTACGCGGTGTGGCTGATAACTGTGGCGCTGTTCATTCATGTCGTCATCACCCCACAACTGGCACAGGTCGTCAAAAGGTCACTGTCTGTCGCCATGACAACGCCAACGCCGACCACACCCAAACCAGCTACTGCCTCGGTGTCTTTTTTGAGGAAACCTTCTCAGCTGGAAGCCGTGGCATTTGAGACTGCAAAGAAGGCCGAGAAAAAGAACATAAGTCATGGAGAACAAAGGTTGGTATGGTCATCCTGAGCTCACATGCGTATAATTGAACAAGGAGGCTAGGTTACATGTAAATATAATTAAGTTGAATTTAAAGCTCATTGGACGGAAGTATACGCGTGTGTTCGTGCGGGCACGCGTGTGTGTATGTGCGTTTATGCAAATGCATGTGTCAGTGTATGTATGTATGCATGTTATGCTTGTGTGTCACGATGTGCGTATGTTCAGTAAGCGTTTGTGTGTGTGTGTTTATGCATGTGTGGGTGTCTATACGGCCGGTTGTGCTTGCGTGCGTATGTGTGTGCGTGTGCGTGCGTGCGTGTGTCGGCGCGCTTTCGTGTGGCTATAGGCATGAACTTTATTGACGTAACAAAAGTCCAGCGACTTTCGTAAGGTCTAAAACTGCATGTAGACATACAGACAAAACATGGGTACAACGAAATTAACCTACGTACAAAACAATATATATAACCAACTAACCCACAGCCTTGCGATTTTGTTTCCGATGTAGAAAGTACATTCCAAGCAGTCCTACATGCACGCCTCATCCAAACATCGCCTTCATAAAGGTGCACAAGTGCGGGTCTTCCACCACACAGGCCATCTTCATGCGCTACGGGTTCGAACACGACCTGGTCGTCGCCCTTCCCCGTGAGGTTATAAGTCCATGGATCGGCTGCGGGAGTGTCATCCGCCCGCAACACGCCATGAAACTCCCGCCAGGAACCAAATGGAACATATTCACCCATCATACCATCTACGACAAAACCAACTTCGAGCGTTTCATGCCTAAAAACACACGTTTTGTAGCGATACTTAGACACCCCATGAGTAGAATCAAGTCCGCTTTCAATTATTTTCACTTGGAGAAGAACTTACCCGGAATGGCCGCTAGGGGGCGGTTGTTAGAACTTCCGATTCAGACATACCTGAAGAACCCGGCTTACTGGGACGCCGTGTTTGTGAAGCCTGATAAATGTATTCCTGACGAGTGCGTGAAAAACTGCATGGCGAAAGATCTCGGACTACAGCAAGACATCGATAACAATCAACGGGCGGTCACAAAATTCATCAAAGGCATTGAAAGAGATTTTACACTTGTCATGATCATGGAGTACTTCGATCATTCTCTGGTCATGTTAAAACGTCGCCTGTGTTGGACACTGAGAGACATCCTATACAACAGTCGCCAGTACAAGTCGAAGAACTACAACTACAAAAGTTCGAATTCAACCATCATCACCAAAGAAATGGAGGACAACTACCGACTGTCTAGCGCGGTAGACCACGCCCTCTATGCTTACTTCAACCAATCGCTGTGGAGTAAGATTCAGGAGGAAGGTAGTGAAGATTTCCTCGGAGAGGTCCGACATTTTCAGACGATTCTTGTCAGCGTTTGGCGGTTCTGTGCAGTGAGGAATCAAACCGCTAGGCTTCGCATGAAGGCGTCGCCTTGGAACGACGAATTTGTGGTGGATCGCCGTCTCTGTTCAAATCTACGTAAACAAAGATGGCAGTGGGACCTGGATATCAGAGACAAACTGGACCAACAATTCTATCAAAAGGCTTCAGGAAAGAAAGATCAAGTTAACGGACTTTGGTAATATTTATTTTCAAGTATAAACTTGTAGGATCACTAACTTGATACACAAAATGAACAAGATGATTATTATTATCATTGACAATGTTGATTCGTAAGATCTTCATCAGGATAAAACGACAAACGTTCGAATTAAATCTGAATAAGAAAATTGTGTGCATGGATGTTGTTGTTTTCGTCATTCCAGTGATATGTACATGGTAGATTTTATTATGTTTACGATAGACTATAATATCTAACATCTAATATATCACATGTTCTTTTCAAAATTTTAATTAAAATATGAAACAAAATGTGTCAGGGACAGACATATTAGATCAACCAAGGAAGTTTAGTCTCTTTGGTTAATCATAAAATGTTTCTTTGAACTCAGATACCATCATTATAATTATATTGGCAGTTCTGACTACTTTTGGCATGATAGGCACTTATTCAATTCTAATTCCAGAAACAGGTGCGGCAGTATCAAAAACACTTGTGCGAAGTGTAGAATGAAAACGGTAAATTTCACTAAGAGACAACAGTGCCACCAGGTATCCGACATTACAATGCGGATAGAAACCCAACACACCATAAACACGCTACGCTTTTCCACAGAAAAGGACTGCAGTGAAATGTAATCCAGCGTGAACAAAGGGTCGCATGCTTACTGGTACTGTGCGATAGGGTCCACAGTTCGGGGAAGACAGCCACTGCCAAAGGGCTGCTTGTTTTTTCAAGGCACAAGCTGCGAAACATTTTTTTTTACTAGTGTTAGGATCTAAAGCGTCATGTTAGTTCACAAGGTGGTTGTTTCACCACAGTGATTTCTTGCTACTGCCATGGTATGTACGTTTAGTTCCGTATACGAACGTACTAGACGACCGTCAGTAACGCTGAATTTGCTACTAGTACCCGGCGGTACCAGTACCTGGTACCTCGGCGGAGTTGGACCATACTTTGCCACGTAGACTGCCAGAAACCCGACTACTTTACGAGAAATAGGACCAACAGTCTTGTGAAACAAGGTAAGCTGTTGTATTCTGGTGGTTTGTATCCACAACGTACGATTTTCTCACGAAGTGGCAAAGCTATTTTGATTCTTACAGTTCGTCTGAGTCACAGTCTGGTTGACCTCAAAAACACAGTCTGTGAGTGTAAACCACGTAACTTTTTATCTCAACTTTTTATCTAACTTTTTAAAATTTATGCTTGTTATATCCGGAATGCTCACTTAACTGAGCCTTGACCATATCCTCTTATGTTATAATAATTATATTCTCTCATCTCCATATTTCTGTCTGCCTCTTGTCGAGCTACCTCCTTGCACAGTACATGTATAGTCTCTACCAGACTAACTACGCTGGCTATATCTAGGAGAATTTGCCAGGGGAGTTTGGCCGCCTTGTAGGTTTTACTGGCCGCGCAGGAGGGAGGAAAGAAACTACCTCCCCGCGGCCGGACTTCCTTGGTCAATTTTGCTCTCTTTTTTGCCGAATTCTACGATCCGTATTCCCGTAGAAAGGCCTGGTGGAGGCTAGTACATGTACCTTGTGGGATCGTCTTTGCCAGATCAGCGCCATCTTGTGACATGGCTATATATATCATCTTAGTTTGCCTTTCGTCACAGTGGTTGAAAGATCGTAAATAGAGCAGGGAGCTATCCTGTGTAATAGTGCATCGATATCTAGATTTGTTCCGATTATAGTGAGAGATGAATAGAGGACGTGTATGTCAGTAATCGTGATACGAAAATGACTTTAATAGCCTCAGTGGAGGGAAAAGAATGTCAGCTTTATCGAGAGTTTTCTGCTGAAAATAGTACACACAATAATCCTATTGTATATTACTTATACTGAACGAAAATGTGGTGTGATTTTAAAGGCTTAGTCTTGAAACTTTCACTCAACAGCTCCACCACTTCTACAAGAAAGTGGAGACGAAAAGCATCAAAACATTGTTGACATACTTCATACTTCAGTAGTTGTGATGGAGCATAGCTAATGCCGGGGATAAAGACAGATTCGTTGGGCTATGACACGGTTTGGTTAAGCAGAGTGATGGAAGTTTCCATGCCTTTGTAGTTGTGGTGCGGCCTGGTATGGAAACGTCACAGTCTTTTTGACCTGATAGAATCATGGTTGGCCCAGGTTAACGGGGTCAAGTGACGGCCTTCATGCCTGACTACCTGTGGCTGAGTGACCGGTTGTTAGAATGGTAATGTTAGGTTCTGGTTGAGCAGTTTTGTGACTTGCCCGTCACGGAAGACGTCCCAGCACGCGTTTAGAAACCCATTCAGGAATGAAAAGCTCAAGAAATGTTATTTCATGCGTATTTTCCACAAGTCGCCCATGCCACGACACCTGCCGCATTAAATAGACAGCCCCCCTCCCCCATTATGAATGACCTTTGAATGCTGGGTAATCTGTTACCTTTATCAGTATAGCCGGTATAACCGTCCTTGCAAGGTCAAACTTTAAAACCTTTGCACATCTAGCTTCAAGCGTTGTTTAAAGCTGTATATATTTGACAAGTAGCTATATTTACGAGGCAATTGTATGTAGAGATACTTAGTATTAACAATGTCTTCTATATTGTGATTTTTATTTTTACGGAAGGAAAACATGTTGTTTATGCTACGTTTCCTCTTCCTCTTCTTCTCCAAACCAAAAAGGTCAATGACCCGAACCAGACGTCTGTCACCATGGTAACTAGTGTTGGGCTACATCATGTTGCAGTTTTATAGCAGGAGGGATTTAGACTCCTGTCACCATATGTGTAAATGTGAGTAAGAATTAACAAAGCAGACCATATGCGAAGGTAAACATTATGCATTTGCTTTGCAAATGTTACTTCTCTAGTTATGATCTATTTCTCTGACTGCAGGGTGAAGAAACAACAATGCAGTGGCTTCGTAGTTTCGAGTTCTTTTGTTCCACATTCTTTCTCCACGTCTGTCTTCTCGGTGAGTATTATTCATGAAAAAAACATTACCTTGAATATTGAACATTATGAACAATACAATGAATTACCACTAAGCTTCTCTGCAACGGCATATATGTTTTTGTTTTCTACAGGATTGGAAAACTACGCAAATGCAGAGTCGCACATACAGTAAGTTGTATAAAAACATTTGTGTTTGTTAATATGTAAATCTTTATATCAGATAAATAGAAACAAAACACGTGTCTTCGTATTTAGTTGCACAGGGAACAATAGCATGGTAGTATATGTAAATGTCAATATCAGGCATATTTCGCTATCCAAAATATTTTTGTTTTGTACCTGTTTCGCCGTCCTAACATTGTACTGGCTGGCTTTAAAGTGTTTTCACTGTGTAACGATATATCTGTACTTTCGCAGCATACATCATGAAAACGACTCCCTCATAGCCGAGCATGTATTTGAAACACTGGAGAATTATGACGGGCGAGTGCGGCCTGATTTTGGAGGTAATCTAACTACTTCCTGCTTTTAATATACCTTATATAATACAGCGTTTTCTTTATTGTTTTCCCAAGATAATCTTATAAGTATAAGGCACTGGTTGACACAGACTCTCTGAGTTTCATTATGGATAAAAAACAATGACAAGTATTGACCGTATGTCATGTTGGAATAGATACCATAAAGATTACAGCATTGGGATGCATTCAGCCGCAATGCTAACCAGTACGAGGATTGATACATGCTTTAGTTTCAAATTATTTTGTTATTTTCTTGCATAGTGAAACCGACAGAGGTGCAAGTGCAACTCTACATAGCAAGTTTAGGGTCCATTTCGGAGATTAAAATGGTAAGTGTAACTAAAACATCTTTCATATGTGTGTTGATATGATGCACGATTGATAAATAGTCAAGCTACTGTGACGCTAGTTTCATGTTTACCTTCGCAGAAGGAAAACATATTGTTTTTGCTCAGTTTCTTCTTCCTCTTCATCTTCTCCAAACAAATAAAGTCAATGACCTGGACCAGACGTCTGTCACCATAGTAACTGCTGTAGCAACACCCTGTGGAGTTGGGTTAATTATGTAGCAGAATAGAGTTGGAGAGCCTGCTCACCACACATATGCATGTATTTGACTTTGAATAAACAGTACAGTTATTTTTTGGGCTAGACCAGGTGAAGGTAAACATTATGAATTTGCTTTGCAAATATTACATCTCTAGTAATACTAGTACTTTGTTGTTGTTACCTGATTTTTTTAACGGAGTAGTTCAATGCAAGGCCTATACGACCACTTCTCGTCATTGAACTAGAAAGATGAGAGAAACATGGCTATGTCAAGAGATGGCGGTGAACGTTTGATTTGAAAGCCTGTAGATTGTAGGTTGGTGGGAAACACTTGTCAGGGAGGGAATTCCAAAGCTTGGCCGTACGGGGAAAGAAACTGTTACTGTAAAAAGATTTCAAACAAGGAATTTGGACGGTGAAGTTGTGTGAGCTAGTGGAGAACCTAGTGGAACGCTTAAAAGTTCTGAGTGGTGGAACTAGTTGGGTGAGATCTGCAGAGCAATGACCTTGAAAATATCCGTAAAAGAGGGACATATTTTTGTGCCTTCTGTACAGGACTACACGATGACATTTTACCTCCGTCAGTGGTGGAACGACCCGCGGTTTGAGTTCCCGGACCTGAACCAGAACATCGAGCTGCACAACGTCGACTCTCGCGATATCTGGACGCCGAGTATCTACTTCGTGAACGAGAAGGACGCCGGGTTCAGACCGTCTACTGACCACGCCAAGGCGCTGTGGATCTGGCCGTCTGGTGACATCTTCTACGGAGAAAAGTTCGTGTGAATCAAATCCGTTTGATAGTTCAACCACCTATTTCTGTATTAGGCCTAGGAAAAATGTTGTGTTTCCTGTTTCCCTACGGATCCTAAAAAAAAAAAATTGCTGACCCTAGCCTTTCTTTGTGTCATCAACCTTTTCTAGCTCCATGATCTGACAAGTGAGTGATAAACGTTGTACAATCGGTTTTCCAACATTGACATTGAAAATATTAATGTCCTCATGCAAGTATTACTTTGTTAAACTGTATTGTATGTTCAATCTCTTCAGCGAGATTGGCAATGTCTAATAACAAGAAAGAAAATATCCCTACCTACCGACCCTATTTTTCTCAGAACTGAAACAGGAAACACAACATTTTTTCCTAGGCCTGATGGAAATGTTGTTTTGGGTGACGAAAATGTTGGTTTGTGTAAGTAATGTGTAAAACATACATCCATCACAGTTGGAACAAGTAAAATCTGAGATTTTATACCTCCGGGCTTTTTATTGTATACTTTTATATAGGGTTTTAAACAAAGAATTTATCGAGACCGGACACCCCTCTGTGTGAGCGGTCATATACGTGGACCAGACCGAGAATAGCTTAAATATGCCAAAGGTCAACGGTCGCGACCACTTTCTCGCTCAAAGGAGTGTTTTGGGGCCACCAAAAGGCACCATTGTCACGCCCGAAAACACATATACAATAAAAACAAAAGGACGTGCACCATCTGCAGCCCAATAGCAAAACATATACCGAGTCTCAAAAGAATCCGTCCACCCAAACGCGAGAAACAGCTGCGAACATGAAAATCTAAATCTCTCACAAAACCCTTCCGCGGAAGGATGTCTCCTCCCCCGGAGGTAATTATTACACTTGCCGAAACAGCAAAATGATGCGTCTACAATTCTTCAACATGAAACAAGTGATCGATCGATGATGAGAGCTGTTTTGTCATCTTACATTTCTTCCCCTTTTTCTACAGGAAGACAGTGATAGGTTCCTGTCCGATGCAGTTCCACATGTACCCGTTCGACAGCCAGACGTGTACGTTCCAGATAGCCAGCTGTAAGTACACTAAAGTTGGCGTACATGGTTTCGTTTGTTTGGCCAATTCTAGTAATAAATAAAACACCCACTGCCTTCTATACACTTGTCATTAACTTAATTCAGTTCATCGTAGTCCGTTTTTTTCTCTACTTTGGAAACATAAGCAAGACGCTGCGTTGTTATGTCATTTTCTTCCACTTTTTTGTGTGAAAAAAAATCAACATTTACTTTTTACAGATGGCTACACGACCAAGGATTTGATA